CCGCCGCCGCCGCCGCCGCCGCCGCCGCCGCCGCCGCCGCCGCCGCCGCCGCCGCCGCCGCCGCCGCCGCCGCCGCCGCCGCCGCCGCCGCCGCCGCCGCCGCCGCCGCCGCCGCCGCCGCCGCCGCCGCCGCCGCCGCCGCCGCCGCCGCCGCCGCCGCCGCCGCCGCCGCCGCCGCCGCCGCCGCCGCCGCCGCCGCCGCCGCCGCCGCCGCCGCCGCCGCCGCCGCCGCCGCCGCCGCCGCCGCCGCCGCCGCCGCCGCCGCCGCCGCCGCCGCCGCCGCCGCCGCCGCCGCCGCCGCCGCCGCCGTCGCCGTCGCCGTCGCCGTCGCCGTCGCCGTCGCCGTCGCCGTCGCCGTCGCCGTCGCCGTCGCCGTCGCCGTCGTCGTCGTCGTCGTCGTCGTTGTTGTTGTTTCAAATCTTTATCCTCACGATAGCCAGTGGCCAATAAGAGATAATAGTGTAAGAAAGGAGAAAGAGTGAGGAAGAATTGGGTGGGCAGGGCCCAGGGGTTAATGACTACTTAAGTCTACGGGCAGGGGTGGTCGCCACACGAGCATACAGAGTTGTGTACTTTTAAGTGTACGGGCAGGGGTGGTCGCTACACGAGCATACAGAGTTGTGCAACAGCAGGGATATCTCGGATTTGAAGGGAGAACGAGAAGGGATTTCGCGAAGCTGGAAGGGCAAGCAATTAAAGTAATGAAGGGCCTTGTACAGGGGAGAATGGAGACAGCGGTCAGTCCGCGGAGTTGGCAAGTGCCAAGTACGAGAGCGACGTAAATTATACGAAGGTTGCACGTTGCTAGCAGTATGCAGCGAGAGTATATGTGGTGGGGCATAATTGTGGCGCAGAGAATGCGCGAAGAGTATAATGTTTAACTTTAAAGCGTGAAAATAATGTTGGACATTTGATGCGATGCAAAAGGGGGGAGTGTTCTAAGTGTGTGTAAAGGTGAAGGTGGAGACATATTCTGGCGGCTTTCCGCTGGAGTCGTTCTAGCCTGTCAAGGGAAGTGTGTGACAACGGTGTGAGAGCATTGCTCGCATATGAGAATATAGGTAGTATGTATGTCTGATAGATGTGAGATAAAGAATCACTGGTGAGTGTAGACCTTAGTCTAAAAGAATATTGAAAGACTTGAGTGATTTTTTGACTATGTATTCAACATGCTCCGTCCAACGGAGGTCATCCTGAAAGATTATTCCGAGGTGTTTGTGTTTTTGTGCTACGGTAAGCGGACTATTCCTGAGGGTGATCTGGGGTAGCTGTTCAGGGGGCGGTTATTGTGGTAGAACGGGAGGATGACTGTTTTCTTATTGTTAACCAGCAGGTGCCATCTTTGAAGCCAGTCTCCAGCTGCTGTGACACTCTGTTGTAGGTTTCGGGTGCAGTCTTGAAGAGTTCTCGCTATGGAAATCAGAGCGGTGTCATCTGCAAATTGGCTACATGTGGTGCCGGGATTCTCACGTGCGTGTGGAAGGTCTATGGTGTAGATGAGGAATAGAAGCGGCCCAAGAACAGATCCCTGAGGGACACCGGCAGGGATCTCGAGGAAAGGCGATAGGTCGCCATCCACCTGGACCCTCTGCCGACGCCCCAACAGGTACCGTCGGAACCACTCCAGGGCGTTGCCCTGGACACCATAGTGGGAGAGTTTTGCTAGAAGGCCGGCATGCCACACACGATCGAAGGACTTGCTTAGATCAAAAAAGCAGGCATTGACGTGTTTCCCGTCGTCTCTCGCAGTGGAGAGGGTATGGACGAGACGGGCGAGCTGCTGCTCAGTGCCGTCTTTCTCGCGGAATCCGGACTGCTGGTTGGGCAGGTGGGGTGTGATGTTCTCGTAGATTAGTTGATGTGCAATTTTTTCTTGGATTTTTGATGTAGTGCTCAAGAGAGAGAGATGGGTCTATAATTTGTTGGTTGGGTTGGGTCACCAGGCTTGGGTACTGGAGTAATGGTGGCATCTTTCCACTCCTGTGGGATTTCTCCGGTTTGGAACGATAGATTAAAGAGGGACGATAACGACGGTGCAAGTTCCTTAGCCGCTTCTTTGAGTAGGCGGTTTGGAATAGAGTCGAACCCGGGGTTTTTGTTGGTATCAACTTCGCGGAGGAGTTTTTCGACCTCAGCTTGGGAAGTCGAGATTTCTTGAAGGGGACTGAGGATGTCAGGGGTGGTGTTGATGGCTGGAGTTTGCTCATCCGCATTGGCCACGGACAGCTTGCTCTGTGAAATGAAGAATTCGTTGAGGGCAGCGGCTTTTTGTGCTGGTGTCGTTGCAGGAGTTGCTTGGCTGAAGAGTTCGGGTATGCGTTGTTTTGTAGCTGTAGTTAGTTGCTTCATGAGGCGGTGTAGGGAAGTGGAGGAGGCTGTTGAGTTGTTTACGAAATCCGATTTTGCACGACGCAGGAGGGTGGTGACACGGTTTCTTTGGGCAGTGAACGTGTTCCAGTCGTCGGGCGAGCGTGAGTGAAGGTATATTCTGTGTTTTCTG